TCCCCCCCAAGACAAGGAGTCTCCTGTCTCTGTCTTTGTCTGCCGTTTGAATCTGCTGCTGCTGCTGCTGTTTGTGTTGGTGGTGGTGGTGGTGGTGGTGGTGACCTTGCTGCTGTTGTTTTGGTGGTGGTGTTGGTTTTGCTGCTGCAGCTGTTGCTGCTGCTGTTTTAGCTGCTGCTGCTGCTGTTGCTGCTGCTAGGGCTGCTGCCCCGGCTTTGCGCTGGTGCTGCTGTTGCTGTTGCTGCTGCTGCTGTTGCTGCTGCTGCTGCTGCTGCTGCTGCTGCACCGGCTTTGTCTGGTGGCGATGCTGCTGCTGTCCTCGCCGATCCCTCGGTTGCTGCTGCTGCTGCTGCTGCTGCTTTTTCTATTTCATATAATGAGCAGCTAGGGGAGCGCCCGATACCGTTGCAGCAGCAGCAGCAGCAACTCCAGCTGCTGCTGCTGCTGCTGCTGCTGCTGCTGCTGCTACTCTTGCTGCTGCTCAATGCCACCAGCTGATGCTGATGCTGCTGTTGCTGCTGTTCTCGCTGCTGATACACTTTTGCTGCTGGTATTCGTATGTTGTTGCTGCTGCAGTTGCTGCTGCAGTTGCTGCTGCAGTTGCTGCTGCAATTGCTGCTGCAGTTGCTGCTGACTTTTGAGGTGTTAGCGGCACTATGCTGCTGGAGTTGTGTCGCTTGCTGCAGCAGCTGCTGCTGCTGCTGCTGCTTCTGCTGCTGCTGCTGCTGCTGCTGCTGCTGCTGCTGGTCAAGGCATCGAGGGCCCTCCGGTCTGGTCGCAACCGCTGCAGCCGCAGCAGCAGCAGCAGCAACAGCAGCAACAGCAACAGCAGGGCCTCACAACCCCACAACACGAGTGAAAGACAAATAAAAACAAAAAGCTGAACGAAGACACCTCAAGGAGTTGGAATCCAACGGCAGCAGCAGCAGCAGCAGCAGCAGCAGCAGCGGCGGCGGGCTGCTGCTGCTGCTGCTGTTGCTGCTGCTGCTGCTGCTGCTGCTGCTGCAACTGCAGCCGGAACGAAAGCTCTTTGCGGCTAAATTTGTTCTCTTATTTAATTAAATAAAGAATTTTCATTTATTGTCTTAATCTGTTCTCTATAAGACAACAGACAGCCCTGCTGCTGCTGCTGCTGCTGCTGCTGCTGCTGCTGCAGCAGCAGCGGACCGGGCCAGCAGCAGCAGAGGCTTGGGTGCTGCTGCAGCAGCAGCAGCAGAAAGAGTATAAATTATAGGAGAAAAGCAGCCTTTAGACCATTTTTCTGAATCTCGTGAAATAAATAAAACTAAAAATATATAAATTAATTTTAATTGAATAAATTTACACAAAAAAAAAAACAAAACACCAAAGGCGGGGGAAGCGGCGGCCGGAGCGGTGAGAACGACCGAACGAGGTGTACATACACCTGAAGTGTGCATACATTTTTCAGTGTCTTTTCAATGTTTAATATATTTAAATTACCTCTTTTTACTTTATTAAAGAGATAATTATATTCTGCTGCAGTGATTGCTGAGGTGTATGTACACCTGAAACAGCCCCCGTGTGTCGCTCCCTCACCCGTTTCTTTGTTTTTGTTTGTTTCTTTCTTTCCTTTGTCTCTCGGCTCACATGGACTTCTCCTTTTTCTTTAGCAGTTTCACCTCCTCTCGGGGTGTCTGTCCACCTCCTCTTTGATGCGGGGCCCCTTCTCGCGGCCGCAGCAGCAACAGCAGCAGCAGCAGCAGCAGCAACAGCAGCAGCAGCAACAGAAAACGCACCCTTCGCCAGCTCTCCTCAGACATGAAGGTACACCGTCCTCTCCCCGATGCATGCATGCACAGAGTCGTCTTCCCAGGGGGCCCCCCGGGGGCCCCCTGTGGGGCCCCCCGGGGGCCCCCCTCGGGGGCCCCCTGAGGGGCCCCCAGCGCTTGTTTCAGGGCAGGGGGTGAAGCGTGAAGTGTATACGCAGCCCCAGCCTTCTCCCTCTCTACCTGAGCTTCGCTTGGGGGGCCCCCAAGACCCCCTGCCGAGGCACCTGCTGCAGCCGCAGATGCCTCATGTTAATCGGGGGCCCCCGGGGGGCCCCCTAGAGGGTTCAAACGACGAGGGGGGCCCCCCAAAGCCACACCAGTACCCTATTGACTCTACCAGCATCTTAATGGCTCCCCACAGGCCCTCTCAAGAACATAGCAAACAGAAAGGGGCAACGGGGGGCCCCCAGGGGGGCCCCCCTGGGGGCCCCCAAGGGGGGCCCCATAGGGCCCAGTCGGGGGCCCTCGGGGAGGCTCAGGGGGGCCCCCAGGGTTCGAGCTGCTGCAGGCAGGTGATGAGAGAGGAGGAACTGCTGCAGCTGCCTGTGCAGCAGGTGCTGCTGCTGCTGCCGCCTGCAGCAGCAGCAACAGTACGCGAGGCCCTGCAGCAGCTGCTGCATCCTGGGGAGTATAGAGAAGCAGCAGAACTATCCCTTGACCGGAAAGGTTGCTGCTGCCGCTGCTGCTGCAGCAACAGCAGCAGCAGCAGCAGCAGCAGCAACAGCAACAGCAGCAGCAGCAGAGGAGCTCTGCTGCAGCAGCCCGAGAATTGTGCATTCTGTAATACCAAGGAGGGCCCCCAGCAGCAGCAGCAGCAGCAGCAGCGGCAGCAGCAGCTTGGGGGCCCCCAGGGTAAACGAGAGGTTTCTTATGATGGAGGGGGGCCCCCCTCCTCTGCTGCGTATGTTAATATAAACCCGCCGCAGCTGAGGGGGCCCCCTGAAGAGGGGCCCCCTCAGTGCCCTGCGCTGCAGCAGCAGCAGCAGCAGCAGCAGCAGCAGCAGCAACCAACTGAGCCGCCTGCTACTCAAAAGCAGCAGCAGCAGCAACAGCAACAGCAACAGCAACAACAATGGCGGCAGCAGCTGCTGCAGCAGGAGCAGCAGCAGCAACAGCAGCAACAGCAGCAGCAGCAGAAGCAAGAACAACAGCAAGACCACCGCCACCACCACCAGCAGCACCAAGAGAATCATCATCAT